TGGCAGCCTCGTGGCGCTTGCAGACGACCACGTCCGGCTCCCCTTTCAACTCAACAAAGGCGGAGCGAATGCCCACTGAATGCAGGAACACACAGGAACACGCAGGAATACGCAGGAATACACAGGAATACACAGGAATACACTGGAATACACAGGAATACACAGGAATACGCAGGAATACCCAGGAATACACAGGAATACGCAGGAACGCCGCGCCAGACGACAGCGTTTGACCTCATAATTTGAGCAAAAATGCGCGCAGTTTCTCAAGGCAGGGACACCCTGCCAAGCATCTCTTGGCACTTGGCTGTCCACTCCCGCATTCAACGCGACCTAGCACCTTCTATTGAAACGGCGAAAGCTGGCGAAAAAAGTTAAAGGAATCAAAGCAAGCACAAACGTGCTCCCAACGGCCTGACAAGCCTGGGTTTCCATATTCCTCCGAAACTAGTAGCGCACCAGCTACGCTTTACTTTGGCTCGTACACTTTCCTGGTCCCACCAAGTGGAGCTTCGTTGGCGACGGCCACTTGGCAGCATCTCCCCCAGCACGTGGACAGCTGGTAGAATACTCCAAAGAACGAGGCAAAATACAGCAGCTCAAAGATGTCAACTGCACTCATGAGTGGATGCATGTCAAAAACCATGCCATCCATGCAAACAAGATCGCACAGCAGGTCAGTGGTAACATGCCGCAACCCATGCAGCAGACATGCAGTGCACGGGGCCTGGGTGTTCGTTTCGCAGACGCTGTTGCTCCTTCCGCTGTGTGCATACATGTCGCATGCTTGGCAGGAATTCGGAGCGCCTGCGGCTCATCCGCGCTGTGTAGCGCCTCACTGCAACTAACTCAAAGCGTTTAAGGTCTCAGCTGGACATTCAAGAACACATTTAGTGACAGTCGTGCTGGTCTTTGCATCTAAGGCACATTCAGTTGTTGCCACCCGCCCTCCCGAACTAAGATGGCCTGCAAGGTGGCCCACTCTTGCCATGCGTTGGACCACGAAGTGCTGGCCGATGGCCCCCAGAGCTGATGGTTCTCCGCATGCCACACTACGATGCACTACAGTATGCATGCGTGCTGCGCCCGTGGCCTGACTATCGCCGGCATTCGCGACCACAACCTGGTCCTTAACTGACGTCATTGACGTGCCAGCAAGAGAGACGAGGTCTGTCACGCAGCTCTCGCTATGCAACTCGCGCTGCTACACTCCGAATCTTACTCGCTTCTTCGGTTTCCTCACCGTAACCTGACCTGTTCTCAACCTGTTCCTTCGGGTGACGCTTGCCGTGGTGACAAGGCCCGTGCCTCGCTGACCAGAACACACAAAGCGCAGGAGCCAACCTCGTTGGCAAAGCAGAAGCAAGCAGAAAACATAAAGTCGATAGAAAAAATTGTGAAAATGAGAGATGCGACGATGACGTGAAGAGGACACAGTCTGCATGCGTTCTACATTGATACAAGCGGTTGATTGTGCTCCATTTCTGTTGGGCCTTCCAATCATGCACTGAGGAATTGGCTCTTGCCTCCTTTGCGATCTTATGCAGCTGCCTGGAGAGAGCAGGAGAGGGAGAGAGCGAGGGGGAGAGAGAGAGGGAGAGAGAGACCAGCCGCACTCAGCCGCAAATGTGGCACCCACATGTCGAGCCGAGGTTGCCACTTCTCATTGTGAGGCTGCGCCTCCTATCAGACTTCTGAGGGCCAAGGGGTCCATGTAGCATATGAAAGCGTCTACAACTACAAGAACTACAGCATTGCTACATGCTGCAACCGCAATGGTCACCATGGCACCCATGGTGCCCCTAACATCCCCCACGCCGCCTGCCAGTGCACCTCCAGGCGTTGCCGGAGTGTCTCGTCACACTCCCGGAAGGCTGCCTCCAGCCGAAACAGACGTGCTACGATAGGAATCTTGGGGAACACTCCTGGAGCTCCAGGAAGTGCCTGCAATGCCGCTGGAAGCAGCTGTGCCAACTGCTGGGGCCCAGAAGCGCCCAGGGCCTCAAAGAAGTACAACTTTTGACACCGAACACAATACCCAACACCATGCACATACCATGTCATTGCCTTGATCCGATTTAGTTGCGCCACACTACAAGCCCGCTGCATGGCCGCAATCGCGACACGTCACAATGTGGCTGGGTCTTCGGCCTTTAGTTGGCGCTCCAGGGTGTCAAAGAGCTCTCGTCGAAGAAAATCGGCTACCTGCCGGATCGATAAAGCTGGGACTTAGGATTGGATCTTGTGCTCGTGGGCATTTCAGGTCCTCAAAATGCGCTCTCCAGCATACAGCACTGACTCAAGGTGCTGCACGTACCTTCACTATCCTTACTTGCGACCCCAGAGATCCTTCGCACCGCCATGGCCGTCAAAGACCGCAGCTGCGAGCAAGGGCTCCCCTGCAGTACCATCCACACGAGTCCACTCGCGACATCTTGCAACATCAGGCAACATGCTCGGAGATACTTGGGAGGTTTGCACCCTTAGTTGCACGATGCTGCGCCTGCCGCGGTTACCACACGCCGTCGGACAGACTGGCGATCCTGACTAGCACACTGCTGGAAGTCGCATGGGGCCCAGTAAGTCCAGTCGACAGCATCTTTGCATGGGAGAATCCTCGCAGGGCTTGTTGCCATCAGCAGAGCTGATGCCCACCTGGCACAGAGAGCTGATGCTTTTTCACTGCGGATTTTGTTGTATTTGTACTATGGTTTTGTTGTTTTTCGACTACAGTGTTGTATTTCTTCTCACGGCTTCATGGCACAATGCCAAAACAAAACAGTTTGCCACAAGTTCGGGCCATGGCACCACATTGAGTGGGCTTGCCTGTACGCCGTTTGGGCAACGGATGCTCCGGCATAGTTGGTTTGGTGACGGAAGTAGTTCTCGATAATTGGTGAAACCCAAGAATGCCTCCAACATTAGCCCCTTATTCGCCTCGGCTTCCTGCCGAGAAGCGTTTGGAACAAGCAGGCTCCGGTCAACCCTTCCCCCCGTGCAAAATTTTGTGACGCACCCCCCCCCCCCCGCCCCGTGCCCCGTGGGACCCCCCCCCCCATGGCTTGGAGGAGCTGCAAACCGATGCCATGCATGCATTCCTGCAGATTTGTGCTCGGTCGGTGATGAACCTCCCAGGCCAATACCGGTGTTGTGCTCAGAGGACCTACCTGGCGAGAAACAGCATCACGGTAACAATCGCAATGCCTTCGAACCGCGACCCTCCATCCCTACGTGGTAAGAACTTGCAAGTCGCTCTAGCGCTTATGTCTTGTCACATCTAGCTAGGAGCCAATTGGTGATTTTCCTTTCACCCTAGGCGCGGATTGACCCTCGGAAGCCGTGAGTTGAGTTGAGTTGAGCCGGGGGGTCCCGCCTGAAACCCTATCCCGCGGTGGGACCTTCCCTAGGACTCCCCCCCTGAGACCCCCCTTTTTATTTGGGAATTCCAAACTCCTTTCCTGTCGTGGGCCGGCCCGGCTGCCGAGGCGGCGCGCGCAAGCGTTTACAATTAAAGAGGCCCAGGCGTTGACGAAATCATTCACGTAGCAAGAACATCCCCATCATCCACAGCCCTCGCCAGCAGCTGCCTTAATCCCACTTGACATCCGCAAACCGTAGCTTTTCACAGAGCAATCAATGGTTTGCATTGTGCATTATGCCCTGTTGCAACCCGGATCCGGTTATGGCTTGAACTAGACCAACTAGACTCAGACCGAAGCTATTCTGCCAACCATGAAGACCATAACATGGTGAACACCACGCAAGCGAAGTCCCCAAACCCCCCCCCCCCCCAGCATTCGCCGGCCATGTGCATTTCAGAAACCATATCTGAAGTCTGAAGCGTAGTAGTGTTGTGTAACTGTTTCGCTTAATTAACACATTCAACAGGCTTCGTACTACTGCTTTGGAAAACACTGGCCGTCGGCCTCAACGTCTGCTTGGCACACTGCCACAGAGGTCCCAGAGGCTAAGCCCAGTCCTGCAGAGTTGACTATCAGAAGCCACCTCTTTTCTGCACTCTAAAGCCTGAACCTTTGATTCAACCCTAAACCACACGTTCATAGTCTTCACAAGTTTCCATAAAGCTGAGCTTCTGCCATGGCTTAAGCCAGGACATTCTTGAGCAAGAAACTTACCGAGGCACATTACCGGAATACACTGCACATCTGCACCGCAGAACAACAACTGGTATCCCCACGTATTGCCACCTTCTCTGAGACTTCCCTGAGCAGTCCGGTAACGACTACGGCAGCGCAGCCGCACTTCGGAGCTCGGTGACAGCCCGGCCTGTTGAGGCTTCAGAAAAATGATTGCGGTGTACTTACACCGGCGGTCACTCAACCGTAGCACGTAGGCCATGAGCACCCCTCCCCCCCGCACCGCAGCTCCTGGGCAGCGTGGCGCGCCGCGCTCGCCGAGCCACCGCAAGGCTGCGCACGAGCCGCTGCTTGAGCAGTGCATGGAGGGACTTGCGCAGGACGGAAACCATCAGGTGACTCGGAAGGCAGTTGCAAAGTGGCTTTGAGGTCTACGTGGGTTTGGTGGTGATTGCCCGGAGTGCAGCTGTCCTTCCATAATCTGTCGACTTTAACAAGCCTCTGCTAAGCAGGGCTGTTCTAGGAAAGCTCGATCAGATGCACAGAGTTGTTGTTCTGCTTCGCCACCAGAGCTATTCAGCTCATCAAAGCTACTTATACACAACATGCTCACGTGCCGAGCCGTCATGTTACCTGGGTCTTCTTTACTGCGAAACCAACCATATCAATCGCGCATGTCTCTTGAAAGAGGAGGGGCGGGTGCACCTGCTATGATTCTGCTGGCCAGCCAGGAAGAAACTCGACTAGCTGGAGCCAGACTTCAGCAAGGCAGAGAGTTCCAGATCTGAAGACCTCGCGTGACCCGGGGGAATTCTGTCGCTTCCAAGCAATCTTGGCTGCCGAAGGCTACACAATTCAACCTGGAGCGTCTGGGCCAAGATCTTGCAAAAATCCCCAAGCAGCCTTGCCATTCCTGACATAGAGGTCGCGCAGGAGCTCTGCATCTTGGATCCGCTTCTCGATGGGATCCTGCACAACACAACCTGGCACCTTCAATTCCAATCTAACATGCCTGGACGCAAGATTAACTGATTAACAGCTGGGCTGCATGACCCCACACCTGATCTGAGATTTCCGAGATCCTCTGTTCGAGGTCTTCATAGGTGGCCCCTTGAAGCAAGGAATGCACTATTCAGCTTTCAGGCTTGTCTTGCATCAGCATGTGCCACGATTGCGCGCTGAACCAGATTCACATATGCATGCTGCACACCCTGATTCATTGACCGCTGAAAGCTCACGTTGTAAATGCACGACGATTGACAAGTAAACTGATATCCGAAGATCCAAAGGGAAGGTTCTTAGTCTCCGTGCGCCTGAGGCGAGCAAGGAGCCCCCCGTCTTTGTGGAGGCCTTCGCAAGCCTCGCCTCCTGAGCCACCTGGGCCCGAACCATTTCAAAAATGGACGTGTCGCCATGATACGCCATTCTCACACCTTGTCGTAGATCTGGCCCCGGTCGAACAGCCCGGTGTAGGTCTTAGCGTCCTCTCGAAGGACCCCAGGAACTACATGAACAGCGCGGGGCAACACATGGCAACACACCTCGGACCTCCGACTCAGCCACTCAAAACGGATCCAAACAATTCCAAACACTGGCTTCCACTGTGTGGACCCCTGGAGGCCTTTTCTCTTTGCACCCGGCGTTCGCCTCGAAGCCTGGCCCACACAAGTGGAGCCCACAGTGAACCCAGCGAACCTCCCGAAATTGAGATCCAGTTTGAGTCATTGAGTCTACCTGTGCGACCCCCGTGCCTGACCAAAAGCCGCTCGACAGTCTGGTTGCTGGGATCGAGCGCGTTGGCCTTTGCTAGGTCCTCAGGGCTGCTAAGGCTGCTCAATGCTGTTCAGCCCATGAGGCTCGTTTGGACAGGTCTTCCCCACCTGCTGTTCAGTTGCTTATGCTCTGGAAGAAGCATGCCACATCCGGCCAATCCTTGATGGCAATGTCGTGGTCGTAGGCGGTTGCCTTTGTGGGCCTGGCTCCAACATTGCATGCACCAATCACACGAAGAGCATCGTTTTAAAAAAATGTGCAAGCGAACCAACGGGACACAGCCGCTGTCAGCTCTTGGTGCTGGCACTGTCTAAGGGCATTGCAACAACGCGACTCCGGTGACGTTCATGTCGCGCCTAATGCGTGACTCTGCCCGCCGGTAGAGCGCTTTCACATTATCTGGGTCGAGCCTGACTTCGCACGCAAGATACTATTCATGTTCCCTTGCATGTGCCGGCTAGCGCTGACTGGTGCTGCGTTGCGCACTCGAGAGTCACGTCACAAGCGATGATAGCCTGCCGAGTTGATAGTTGAACAAAAACTGCCTTGAGTCCTGAAGCCTGAATCGAGAGTTTTCTGGCATCTGTTTGTCCTTGAAGGCAGCACAGCGTGGCCTCGTCGAACTTGTCCAGCTTCTGCTTGCACGCTGCCAGATTTAGGGCGCACCTCGGCAGCTCTGAGCCGGATCCTAGCCTGGCAAGACGGGAAAGGATGCTGCGCAGAGGAGTGCTGGGTCCTTCACAGGGCGCGGTGCTTCCGCTGCCACCGTGCGTCCTCCTCTGTGCCGCCCAAGTCGTCGACTGGCAAGGACATCAACATTATCAGAGGCACCACATCCTGAGGATTGCAGCTGAAGGCCTAGCTTCAGCACATCATCATCGATGCCCCGGTTGTTCTTCCGCCAGTTGGCATCGGTGCCTAGGGCACTTCGAGGATGGAGCAAAACTTTTGCCACAGCTTCGAGCCTTGGCTGCCGCCAAGCTGCTCCAGTAGTAGTGCACCAAAGATGCCGCCTTTGCAGCATGAGCTACCCGCTACAACCCCAGTCGAAACTCGGACCGAATCCAGTGCCATGCCAATGCCCAGCCCGAATCATGCTTGGCTTCAACAGCACCAGGATGTCTTTCGTGGAGTACGAACCTCCTCGTACTTCTCCACTGCATCCATCCAGGATCCCTTCCTTGGAAACGGGCCTCTACGACGTTCGCGAGAGACGGAACGAAAGCAGAGGTGCGAACTTGAAGAGATCGTTGCCCTCCTCTTTCAGCCTGCATGCTAAACCATGCGAAAAGGCGTGGGTCGGAAACTTCCTTGTTTGGTTGCCTCTCAGAGATCACCTTCTTCTCATCAAATGGAAGCTGTCTCCAAGCCTTCCGAGAGCACAAAGTGCCCTCAAAGCTCTCAAGCTGAGAGTAGCTTTAGAAAGCAAGCGAAGGAAGACAGCCCTTTCCAGCCTTAAAGTCCTCCTTCTCTCCATGAAAGAGCGTATGTTGCACAAAGAAGGGTCGAGTCCTCAGCAAGGCAAAGCGCGCGCGATGCCTGCGATGCCTGCGGCATCCCTCATGCTCTGGATGCCCTGGGGAGTGCTCTCAGTGCTCTCTGAGCCCTTCGCTCGTAAGTTTTTCGTTTCTCGTTCATCTGCGCAGATTTCAGCTTGACCTAAAGCGAGAGAAGGGCTCGCACAGCTTCTGCGCAGCTTTCGCGACTGCTACTACGTCTGCTGGGAAGCTGGCAGCCTGCTGCAGGATGTTCCCGATCCTCAGCCCATTCTCACACTGTCGGCAGCCCGTGATCCCCTCTACGGCTCTGCGGTCTTGGTAAGGGGCTCATTGTCTCCGCTGAACAGCGACATGGCGACACCGAAAGAGCCTGCGAAATGACAATGGAAACTTACCCTCAACACTCCCAAGTTCACTGCCCTCGCCCCAGGTATGAGGGAATTGCAGAGCATGTCTTCGGGCATGTTGGCTGCTGGGATGCAGCATTTTCTGGATATTGCTGTTGTCCCTGGCCTCTGAAAGGCCTTGGATGAAGCGGGGTCAAGACGTGTCAAGCGTGCTGCCGTGAATCAGGGACGGCTCAGCATCGCTCAGTGCTTCTTGTGACCTTCTATTCGTTTAAAGTGTTTGGTTTGGGCTGCAGGGTTTCAGCCTAGTGCTTGCAAGGTCTTTCTGGTGACGGCTCGTCCTGTGCCGCGCCGTGAGCGGCACAGCTTTCTGTCAGGTTCCACCTTCAGATGCCGAAACATAACTACTGAGTTTTGAGGTGCTATAGGCGACTAGATGCGCATGTATGCGACGATGTCTATGTGCTGCACTGTGGGTGCATGGGGTACATGATGCATCCCTTGAGCTCAAACGCCTTGGCACCGCGACCTTCAAGTCAGCTGCTGTCGAACCTCACAGCACCTACACGGCACCTGGGTTTGAAGTTCATCTATGACTGTTGTCAACAGGCGAGCCATGGTTGACACTCACCGTGGGCTTGCATTCAGGGCAAAATAAAGAGAACGGGGGTCTCAGGATTCAGCGTGGCGCAGCGCACTCCCACTTCATCCGTTGGGCATGGAACGAATTCCTTGTCATGCAGCGAGGCTGCCTGTGTGCAGCTCGTCCAAACAATCAATCTCGTAATTCATCGCCACAGGCCACATGCACGCAGCCCTGTGAAGGAGGTGCCATGATACTTCTCACGCAGTAGCTGGCCGATGAGCATCTAAGTTGCTGCTAAGCAAACCTCCTTTGTGCACTTGCCGCTGCTGTACAGCTTCTTGGGGCCTGTGCAGAGCTGTAACTCTTGGGTCGAGCCACTGTCAGCGGCTTCGTCACAGATCAACCGCCGGAATCACAGGGGATGCTTGGCCGGCGTCCCTTTCCTGGTCGATTGGCCAAGCCTGTCAACTGGCGCAGCATTTGGCGCGAGCCATGCGAAAACTTCCAAGCTGCCTCCACAGCCCGATAGTTGCGATCGCGCGTTTGGCCTCGGACTCCGGTGCGAGCAGCTTGTGGCAGCTGCTGAGAGCTCCGACTTGGAGGTCTCCTGCTGTCCTTGAACTGCGGAGTGGCGCAAGAGGCCAAGGCTGAGTCTTGGGCGGGACATTCTCTCTGCCATCGGCATTTGCAAGCATGGCGTGGAAGAGATCCCTGTGGTAGCGAGAGAACAGACTTGCATAGACTGATAGATGCTTTGGTGCTGACATCGCAGCACAGAAGTCATCCACATGGCCCCACAGAACTGACCGGTCCCTAATCCCCAACCTTGCAGAGTCCAGCTGGGATCGTCGTCTGTCTTCCTTGGCCTCCCACCGGGGCACGGAGATCACTTTGGCACGGCGGACCCAAGCTGGCACTGCTGCTCAAATGCTGTCAGACAAAACCCTGACCGCCAGAACGATCCCAAAAAAGGAACCTACAAAAACACTCCCTCATTCTCTCCAGTCATTTGGCACAAGACGGAGAGCCTGCTGCTGTCGATCTTTGGCCTCGAAACAACCCCAGGAGGCCCCAAGCAGTGCAACTTCCTGGGCCCCCAGAGAAAATGGCTGTCCAAGATGTTCCAAACATGCCTCGGCTCGAGAGCGGCGTTGGGCGTCGATCTCGTCCTCAAGAGCTGCCAAGAATCGTCACGTGTAGCGGCTGTCTCAGCCCGACAGCTTTATTCCAGCAACTCCAGCCGAATACGAGAACCTCTACGACCTCAATAGGATGACTTTTGAGGATGCAGCAGACATCCGGCGGTTGTCGTCCAGAAGATGACGGAGCTCCGTCTGAGCAGAAAGGCGACACACCGTCAGACTTTCAAAGTTTTAGTATTCTCTGGGAACTTTCTCACTAAACTCTCATGTTCTAAGTGCGGTACATTGGTAATTACTGGTAGCAGCCATGTGTTGACAGTATGTTTTGCGCAATCTCGCGCAGGGTTCTGAAGCCCTCTGGACTCCTTGATTCCTTCCCAGGCAATGGAATCCTCTGCTGAGAGAAGCTTGTACTGTGTATGAAAGGTGTACTACTGTGTTGCATTGCTACTACGGCACACGAGCTCTGCGGCTTCAAGGAAACTTCCACTGATGAGTTCCCTGGCCTTGAGCACCTCGACCTCGGCCTTGAGCCCCGCCACGTCCTTGGCTTCCCTGCGCATCCTCCGAGGTCTCCAGATACATAAGACGGTCCGAAACTGTCTCCGTCTCTCGCGGATTTCAGGAGTGCCTGTGCACCTCCTCGCGTAGGGCCAAGAGCTCGGAGCGGGGGCACGCACCTGGGCACTTTTGGGGACTGTGAGTGAGTGCGAAGGCCCTCTCCAAACACCAGCCGATGAGCATGTCGAGACAGACTCTCCGAGTCTCGAGTATCTGCGGAGACCGCATCGTAAGATGCAGGCGCACGGGCATAGACACCCGCTCAATCCTGACATCTGCCAAGAGTTGCCAGTAAGGCCACAAGGCCGTGTGCCCTTAAGTCCATTGCATCTCATCACCTTACACATCCCAGAATCCCCAAAACCCCTGAAGCCCTCGATCCTGGTGCCGCCTCCCCCCCCCCCCCCCCCCCCCCCCCCCCCCTGCCATGGCCCCAAAATTGGACCCAAAAGTGGCCCGAAAAGTGGGCCCCAACTGGTTCTACAAAGCTAAAGCTGTGGCAATCGGCCTCCTGGGAGGCGGTCCTTGGCAGCCTCCGCTCATGTCACAGATTTCATCATGGAATCACGGAATCACGTAACCTCGGAATCATGGAAGAAACAGAAACAAGGAAGCATGCAGCACATAAGGAAACGCAAGGAATCGTAACGAGGAAACAATGAAGCAAGAGCTTCGGGGCTTCGAGGGGATTTTACCCATCGCCCTGCAAGCCTGGCTCTCCCTCCCCTCGTTCCACCAGCCTACGTGCAGGGCCGCTGTGTATGCATCGCGTGGCCTGAAGCACAACAATCACTCAATCAACCTCACAACAGCCCTCATCGCCCCCTCCCCCGGCAGCTCCGATGAACCGATGAACCTGTGAAGTTAGTGGCGGCAAAGAGGACTTGCCACTGCCACGATCTAAGTCCACTGCAAAACCGCTGGCCACACAAAGTGCTGTTGAAGGAGATGATTCCTGAGGTTGGCAACAGGAAGCAACACCGTCTGCTCTTGATTTTCCAATGCAAATCCTTAAGAACATCCCCACGTCTCCTCACACGGTTGTCACCATTCGATACAAAAATCCTTTGATCACAACAGTTTGCCCCAGGCCACCCCCACACTGAGGCTTTCATGGGCTTTCTGCTCTACATCTCCTTAGGGTGCTAAACTGTTAAACCATGCAAGGTTCTGCGGCGGCAGCATCACGCCTTCTTGGCTTCTACGTGGGCAGGGGCCTTCTGACAAAGCTTCAGCGAGTTCTTCTTGCAAGAGAACTTTACGATACTGAGTTGGACTAAGCTTCTTCACTAAGAGGGCCGGACGCAGGAGAGTGGTTAATGCAAGGGAATGTGGAGTAATTGCTGACATTTGTTGCATCCTCATGCTATGGGCACAATGGCTGCGGAATGCGACACTAACGTGTCATCCTTGCCATTCCAGGGGAACACTTTGCTGCCAAGAGAGAGCTCAACACGGAACTCAACACAGACCTACAAAATGTCTGAGTTCTCCGGTGCTTTTCCTGCTTTTGCCGCAGGCTCATGCCGACTCCGGAGCCTGACGTGCCGACTGGGCTCTTCGAAGACTCTCACGCAAACCCCTTTTAAACAATGATAATAATAATAGCAATAAAATCCGATGTCCCTTCATGTCCCTACACTCCCTAAGCAGCAAACGAAAACCCCAAATCCGTGTTGCGCGTGGCCGAGCATTCTCTCTTGGCCTTCAGGTTCGCGAGGCGGGACTCCTTCGCTTTCCCCGTTAGGATGATCTCCAGCATCTCCTGCTCGAGCTACTTTGGGATGCTGGGAAGTGCTATAGGGCTTCTTCTGTGGGCGCGAGGTTTGGATGCCCTTCTCTCATGCAGGCCGCAGCCAAATTAGCAGGTACAAGCCGGCCGACACGTTTGGCATGATGACGTCGGTCTATCTTTGTTGGAATTCGCAACAATTGCAATCTGCACATTCCCAATACCCCAGCAATCCAGCAAATAAACAGGTAGTTCTAAGCCCACTTGGAAAGCAAAGCGACCAGATGTAAGTTGGAATAAAATCGGAGACGTGCAGGCTGTAAAGGTGTTTTTAGGCCTGCAGAAGGGCCCACTTTCGACGGGAGACAGGAGCATGAGCTCTTAGAATCTTGGGTATGCACCACAGCCTCTTCGAGCTTCTTCGACGCGGACTTCGCATCCGCAAGGCGCTCTTCCGCCTGGGACAGCTGACTTTCATGGGTCGCTGCCTACGACGCGAGGCGCCGCCAAGGACTACTCGGCGCCTGCATATTCGAAGCTAACCTAAATCGAGCAAAGGCGAAGACAGGGTAACAGGAGTCTTTCTTGGCTCATTGCTCATTCGAACCTCTTGCAAGTAGGGCTGGCCTGTGCATGGGCATCTTTTGCTCTTTGCACGGCATCCTTCTTTGAAGATACCTGTCCGACAGGAGGGGCTGCACTTCCGTGTCATGCTCATTGCACCCCATGCCCCATTCACGGAATTTGGGATGGATCGTGGATCTGGGCATGGAGTGGGGCCGCACGCCTCGCGCTCGAGCGAGCGCACGGACTCTGTCGCGGCGCGCAGGTCCTGACAGTCTCAGGGCCGCGGCTCCGTTAAGCAGATGACCACCAGCTCCAGGATTTAACGAACGCGATGTTTGCAGATGCCCACCGCTGACAGGCTAGCGCTGGAATCTTGAGACGTCAATAGATCACTAGAGTGGCGCTCGCCGAGGAAGCC